TATATATTTATATATTTAAATATGATAAAATCTAAATATAATATAAATATATTTTAAATTTAAAATTTGTTATTAGAAAGCAACTATTTTATTATAGTTAATAAAATAGTTGCTTTCTTAATATTTTTCGCAGAGAGTAAGGATATTTTTACAGTATCGTGATCTGCCACGCAAACCACAATCGCCAAGGAGACAACTGAATTTTTTAAACTTGCTATTTTTTATTTTTTTTATTTATTTATTTATTTTTTTTAAGAGAGAAAATGGGCTTCAACGGGCTCAGATTCATGATAAAAAAAATTTCAAAGTAATCTTTAACAAACGTTTGTTAATAAAAATTAACAACGATCTGATTCTTCTGTTCAATGCTTTTGTCTGTGAGGCTAGCGAATCATATTTAGCCTAAGATTTTTTTCTTTTTCTTTTGCCCATTGGCAAAATGGGTCTTGGTTTGGACTTGATGGCGTCCACACACTTTTCGACTGTTTTCAAGAGTAATAGTAAACAGTGCGCATGCGTCGTCATTGCGTGCGTTACTATGGCGACCGCTGCTGTTTTTCTTTCTATTTTCACTAGCCGGCATTTTCAGTGTATTTACATAATAATAATTTAAAGTACTTTTATATTCTTTTTATTATTAACGTATAATTACTGTCTTGACGGTGATTTCAATATAAATAGGAATGCTGAAGAAGGAAGAGTATTTTGCGACGTTTTGAAACGCGTACATAGGCAGGATATGAAAGTCAATCCGAAAACTTTTAAAGTGAATCGAAAAATTTTTGTACACAATTTTGAAATTCGTTCATACAAAAATAGCTATATGTAAAGAAATAGCTTTCAATAATTATGTAACTCTTCTTTATCTTTTTATTTTATAAAAATTTGAATTGGAATGTAAATAAATTTTTACCTTCCAATTCAATAAAAATAAATCAAAGTAAGTTTCTTAAATAAATGAATGTAATTTTAATATGCAAAATAAAACATTTGATCGAAATGGGTTGAATGGTTTTTGAGTTATAAAATTTCAAATAATTCATTTTTTATACTTTATTTTTCAAGACCTGTTTGACTCCTTTCGTTCATATTTTGTATTGTGTTATTTGAAATGACACAACTTAATATGAAGTAAACATTTGAATGACTTACAATTCAAAAAATGTTCTACCTATCATTATTAAATACAATGTTTCTCTATTATTAAATGCATTTTTTAAACCATTATTTAATATCGCGATTTATTCAACAGGCGAAATTTGAATGTTTTTCCTAAGCAAATAGAATTGCTACGCAAATAGAATTTATAGTTTTTCTTAAAACAAATGAACGAAAATTGCAAATAAGTTTGGAATACAATCAAAATGTCAATTGAAATCCAATTGTCGTGAAAGTATTTACCGATTAATAGTTGAAGTATATAAAAATGCAATAGTTTTTGCTGGCGAAATTTAAATTTTTTCTCCAAAGGGGTACTAATTTTATCATAAGAGCACACATTCCTCCACCAGCAGTGTATTAAAAATTAAGCCGCTTGAACAAAATTTTTCTTTTATTTAAAAACCAAAATATTTTTTGATATCAAATTAAAATATTAAATGAAATTAATTTAGAAGAATTAAAAACAAAATTCAAGTGTTTACTTTTTAGATAAAGCAGTTTAAAAAAAAGTGAAATTATTACCATTTTCAAGTTATCCGTGAAGCATATAACCATCACAGTATAACCAAACAATTATTCGCCAATACAATTTTGAAGATCAATAAAACCAATGATAAACAACCCAATTTGTCGCTATCGCCAAATAAAGATTCCAAATAGTTTCCAGTTCATTCAGTTTGTTCAATTAAAATATTATTTGAAATAAATTTAGAAAAATTAAAAACAAAATTTAATTCATGCTTGCTTTTCAGATAAAGCAGTTAAAAAAAAAAAGTGAAATGATTACCATTTTCAAGTTATCCGTGAAGCATATAACCATCACAGAACAATTATTCACAAATACAATTTTGAAGATCAATACAACCAATAGTAAACAACTCAATTTGTCGCTATCGTCAAATAAAGATTCCAAATAGAGTTTCTAGATCGTTCCGTTTGTCCAATTAAAATATTATTTGAAAGAAATTTTAAAAAATTAAGAACAAAATTTGATTTAAGTGTTTACTTTTCAGATAAAGCAGTTAAAAAAAAAGGGAAATGATTACCATTTTCAAGTTATCCGTGAAGCATATAACCATCACAATAACCAAACAATTATTCACAAATACAATTTTGAAGATCAATAAAACCAATGGTGAACAACTCAATTCGCCGCTATCGTCTAATAAAGATTCCAAATCGAGTTACCAGTTCGTTCAGTTCAGTTCGCCAAATGCAACTCAACCATTACTCTATAATCAACACAAGAACGTATCTTTTCCCGTTGTTCTGAAAAACAGGACTATTTTGGTTTCTGCTCCAGCGAGCTGCTTCGATTTTTTCCGTGGCCTCGAATTAAAAACTGAATGGACGAGAAAACGAGTTGCGGGGAAGGTTTTGCAAACAAACCCACGAGACAATTTAGAATATAAAGGAAGGGTGAAGCTGGCTTCCGCTGATTCATTTTTTCTTCTTTGTTTTTAGTCTCCTTTCGAACAAATGACTTCCGAACAATCGCCGGTAGGTTGAGATTTTATTCGAAAATGGTCATTCCGCATTTTGTTATGAGCAAATAATGGTAGGTCATTTCACCGAAAACAGTTTTTGACGCTTTTTGTTTTTCATAGCAATATATGAATAGAAATTTATTTTAATAATTAGTTCAGTAAATTTTATTACAATATTTATATTTTTGATGACAATAGATAGGATTTTCAAAGACTGTCTTGTTGTTCAGGAATTTGTTTGAAAATGAACAATTCTCATTTTGTTATAAATAATTAGTCGTAGGTCACTTTCGCTAAAAGAGCCTGGTTGTCAAGGCAAAAAAATCAGCCTTCATGCCATAAATGATTTAGCAAATTTTTTTCGAAGAATTTTTTAATAAAATGCGATACAGAGCAATTTCTTTTCTTTTTTTTTTGGTAATTTATGGAAAAATAGCACATTTGCAGTTTTAATTAAAAAAGTTTTGACATCTCATTCCGTCTAAAAAAATATCTGAAGCTATTATCTATCAATAAATTTTAAATGGAATAAATATATTATTGTAGAAACGAAATAAAATTTGTTCGTAATTCATTTAGCAAATTATATTTCAATAGGTGTTTAAAACACTACTTCAAAAACAAAAATAGAGGTTTTTATTAAATGTTTAACGTGAATGTCCTTAAAAGCGTCACATCCGTTTGTAAAAGTAATAAGAAGAGTACTACTAAAAAGAATATTCATTTTTACCTGATAGGCTTCCGAATTGACAAATGTCAAGATTTACCTACGATGATGTCACTAGTTGATATCCAATTCAATTACGTCATTATATATTTGATCACTAGAGTTACATTTAATTTTGAATACAGTTCTTAGAAAAATTTACGACGCAGAAGTAAAATGTAAGTTACTATTTTAAAAATGGACACAAGAAGAAACTATTTACGGAATGGAACATGAGTGATATTACTCCTTTTGTTAAAACGTTAAAAAAAAAGAACGAAAAACAATTATTTTATTTTTTATTGCAGAGCGAAAAATGAATTAAAAATAAAATTAATTCATTATTAATCATTCATTAAATCGTTATTAATCATTCATTCACAAATACAATTAATTTAATCAATTCATTAGCAATAAAGAACACTTATTTTTTCTTTGTTGAACTGTTAAAAAACTAAAATGACTCTCCAAAGGTATATTTATTTAATCCTTTGTTGAAATGATAAAAAAGAATGTTTAATTTATCCCTTAAAATTGTTAGGAACTACTTTTAAAAACTTGGTTTTAACGCAAAATACTAGGTTTCAGATCCTAATTTTTCAAATCATTTTTTTAAAATATGTGATAGGAAAGTAAAAACTAGAGGAATCAGCTTTGTCCGACTTCCAGTTTGTCGATAAAATAAGTACCAAACATGCTAGGGGACTAAATACTATTCTTGTTCGGCTGACCACCCAAGCGGAACATCCAGTTAGAGCAAAAGGTCAAGAATACTGGGATGGGCTTTGCCACGACCCTTCCTGGTCGTCAAGTCATTGAGTTAGTTTAGTTTGCGAAATAAAAATTAGCAATAATTATTTTAATTTAGAGAGATCTTTTTGAACATTTTTTTTTATTATTATTTATATCAGGTGAACAAAATCAGTCCGAATAAAATTCATGAAACTCAGAAAAATACTAAATGACATAATTTAGCACCACTGAGGAAACGTTTCAGCTGAAATGAAAAAGCTGACAGCAATGGTATTAGGATTTTTTTTAAAAATAGAAAACGATTTTATAAATAAAAGATTTTCAAAATCTTTTTCTAATTTACGTTTCAAAATCGTTTTCTAATTTACGTTTCAAAATCTTTTTCTAATTTACAATTCATAATCGTTTTCTAATTTGCAATTCAAAATAGGTTTTCTAATTTACAATTTATTCACTTCATAGTGATTTAACAATTTTTGATCAAACATTGATTTTCAGGTTATTTTTCGAAATTCATTTTTGTTATTATTTCTTTTTTTAAATTATATTATTTTTATAGGAAGAAAAAAAAAACATTAGGCAGGCAAAGAAAAGGTCAGACGAAAATGAGTTCAGTAGTGGTACATGAAAACCTTAGATCAAGAAAATACTTCGAAAAGAAAATTGCATTCCTTGAAATATCACTGGTTTTTGTGATTTTTGTTGCCCTTTTAAACTTAAGGGAGAAAGAAAAAGAAATCTCTAAGAATGATGATGTATCTTTTCATAATCAGATTTCCGAAGATATTACAGAGTTAAGTCCATTGATAGAAACCACTAAAAATGATTTAGGTGGATGATTTTTACTTCCTTTTTATTGTGTGAAGGAATAAAGGTATGCAATACAATAGTAGATCTGAACCATCTTGTTCATAAGATAGGATATTCACCCCTGGGAATTTGTAGAAGATGCTACGCTACACTAACGTCTTTTTACGTTTTATTCACGCGTTTTTAAACAGACTTCAGTATTATGGGAAACGCAAATAATATATATTTAAATACTTGAGATTTCTTTTCGGAAATATAAAACATACACATTTCAAAACATTACTTAGAATCCAAAATGCTTGTTTTTAAAAATCTAAAAAATTCACGATTGAAAATCACGATATCATAAAAACACTGCAATATTTAATTTGAATTCTAAAATATTTATTGGAAGAATCTAAAATATTTTTTTCTAAAATATTTTAGGATAAAAATTTTTAAAAATTCCAAAATTTTTTATTATGTTTAACATAGAATCAATTTTCGCATAGTTTGAGACTTAATTTAAACCTAACAATTTTACCAGGCAACGTTATACACACATTTAAATTTTAATCTGTTTTTTTTTATTTTTTGGTTTCTATAAAAACTAGTTAAATATTCTTTTACAAAGAGAATTTTAGCAGTAAGAGCAAAAAGTTAATTCCTATAGTTGCTTTATTATTTTAAATAGTTATTTTGTATATGTTGTTTTATAAAATGTAATTTATTATAAATATATAATTACTTATATATTTATAATTATGTAATTTATGATAAAAGAAAGCGTAGCTTATTTACCGCGTAATAATAGTAAAGCAGTAACTTAATAATTTTAACATAAAATATGAAACTAATTATTATGTAATGAAATTAATTATTATGTATGAAATTAATTTATTATAAAATTATATATATAAACAAAAAAGTAACACCTTCAGTTTCACTCTTTTAATTTTGAACAATGATCAAAATCAAGAACATAATACTGTTAAGGAATAATATTAAGAAGGGATGATAAATAAATATTACTGGTGAAAACGATTGAATAAGGAATAGATAAATAATTTACGAGTTAACTCGGAGGTTATGAGTTTTATTAAATTTGTGCAGACAACAGTCAAAGATGTCAAGAGTTTTTCAGTACATTAAAAATCAGTTATCATGTGGTTTTTTTGTCCTATGAGAAAGCAAGGAACAATTGGGTAACAATTATCTTTTAATGATATAATGCGATATATTAATGCATGGTTAAATGTATGGTTTCAAATCGACTAAATGCATGGTTTCATAAAATTTTCAAATAATCTCAAACAATAAGGTTTAAAAACGTTGCTTTTTTATACAAGAATAATTATTTTCTGTAAACTTATTGATCCTACATTACATAAATGGGCAATTATGTTGACTATCAGATTTTAAATCAGACCAAAACACGTTTTACAGCGCAAGCCATTTCTAATTTTAAAGAAAATTATGTTGACTATCAGCAAAACACGTTTTGCAAAGCAAGCCATTTCTAATTTTAAAGAAAATTATGTTAACTATCAGATTTTAAATCAGGCCAAAACACGTTTTACAGGGCAAGCCATTTCCAATTTTAAAGAAAATAATAATAAAAAAATGAAATGAATAATGATGAGGACGAAAAACAAAATTCGAAAAGGAGAAAGGAAAAAAAAGCAATTTCGTGGGAAAGAAAGAAAAAAAAAGCAAATGAGAATCCTATGAAATATTGAATAAATTGAGATTTGATTTCCTTAATAAAGAAGTGACAAAATGACGGTTTGTATATAAAGGATAGTAAAAAGAATGAATGTAAGGTCATAAAAAAAGAAAGATGATTTACTCTAATTACATACAATATACATCCCTCAACCTAGGATCATTAGAGAAAACAAATTCATGATAAACTTAAAATAGATATGACAGAAATCAGTTAATTTATTTAAGATATTTTATTTATTTATTTATTATTCTTTTTATTTTGTTCTATTTATTTATTTTTTTAAAAATCATTAAGAACCAGTGTTGCCAGATTGAGCTACTTTTAAAAGTTCTTTTTTATTTTTAAAAAGTAAAAAAATTTAAAAAAAAAAATTTTTACAGAAATTTTTTTTTTTAATTTTTTTTCCGTTCCTATAATAAAATTATTCTTAAAAGTCTGCTGTTTCTTTTAACTATTTTTTGAAAAAAAACTCTTTTTTTTGTTGTTGTTGAAAACGCCTTCGCTATAGTTTTCGATTCTTGATTTGCTTTGCTGCGTGGAGTCTTATAATCCTTCCATATCTATGTTTCAAATAGTAAACTCGTGAAATCGCAAAGATATATGTAGCAAAATGCACGGCGAGCACGATAGAAAAAAAATCTTGAACTCCAACCATTATTAATCGTTCATCTTCTGGAAAAATAAATCACGTGACCTTTAATCTAAGTTAAAACAAAAGATTGAATTTGACGACATTTTTAACACAATGCAATGAAATTTAGATTATTTTCTTTTATCTTGGCTTTAGTTGAATCTAACATATCACTTACACGAAATCAATACGAATAAATTTAATTAATCAAAAATAAAATAAAATGTTCATTCTTGTGAATTAACCATTGTGAGTTAACCATTAGTAGTGAACTTGCAACTCTGAGTAGAGTAATCTTCATAAGATCAACTCGATAAATTGTTACTATGCATGCATAAGCTTTACGCGGACTTTTAATATAATCTATTAACCAATATACCAACCATGAAATATTAAGTTTTCGTAAAGGAGATATTTTTTTTTTATAATTGCTCAAAGGGAGCAAAAATTGTAGTTTTTATAAATGGATATAAACACATACACCGTTCTTTTATTTATAACTTTTGTTCAATATATTGATTTTATGAATAATACAGGTTTGTTTTGTTTCTGAACCTTTATTTGCAAGAGCTGGAATTATCCTTAATTTATGGACATGCGTGTATTTAGGACACTATTTGAAAAATTATCAAGAAAAAATATCTGGATTTTGGGTAAAATACAAAATATCGCTAAGAAGGAATTAAAAATAAAATACTTAAATGGCAAAAAAAACTAAATAATTAAAAAATAAACTATTCATATTTTAGAATCGTCTAAAACATACAATTTTTTTTTTAAAATTTA